ATAGGGGGTGACACTCGGAAAGCATGTTTTGTGTGTCGGCTGAAAGGGATCTATTGGGGTATTTGCTGACTCCATAAATCCCTTAATACCCCCTTTATGACGGGATTAACCCTTGCAGGGCCAGCAGGCGGTCTCCAAGCGGTTGCCAGGTCTGCTCAGCCGGTGTTGCCTTTTTGTTCATTTTCGTAAAAACAGCATGGGGCCCCCTTTGCTTCAGGGCCCCACAGCAGTTGCATAGGGTCTACCATGGCTATAGATACACCGTTGGCCCATACAGTGGCCCTTTCCGCCATGTTAGCCCTGAATTGCCAGTTACCCCCGGGGATGTGCCCTGGTATCTAAATCTGACCTCGGTCCTCCCCTTCAGTCTTCTATCTGACCTCCGGCCTCCCCTTCAGTCTTCTATCTGACCTCCGGCCTCCCCTTCAGTCTTCTATCTGACCTCCGTCCTTCCCTTCAGTCTTCTATCTGACCTCCGTCCTTCCCTTCAGTCTTCTATCTGGCCTCTGTCCTCCCCTTCAGTCTTATATCTGACCTCTGTCCTCCCCTTCAGTCTTCTATCTGACCTCCGTCCTTCCCTTCAGTCTTCTATCTGACCTCCGTCCTTCCCTTCAGTCTCCTATCTGACCTCTGTCCTTCCCTTCAGTCTTCTATCTGACCTCTGTCCTTCCCTTCAGTCTCCTATCTGACCTCTGTCCTTCCCTTCAGTCTTCTATCTGACCTCCGTCCTCCCCTTCAGTCTTCTATCTGACCTCCGCCCCCCCTTCCCTTCACTCTTGCACAGTGGTCCCGGCTCCTCTCCTCTTCCTCTGATGCCCCTGCACACTGGGAGCTCCTCACAATGTGCATTAGAAGCTGCAGCAAGTCAGATAGAGCTCCGCCTCCTTTCCTGGCTGGAGGGCGTCCGGCATCCTCTAGACGTTTTCTCCCCAGCCTGACTGTCCCTGGCCCCGCCCCTTTCATTCATTGGATTTCAGTTCTTTCAATCATGGAGGCTCCGCCTCACACGTGGGCATTACCTAATGCACCCTGCTTAGGAACACCCACTGCTCCAGACTAACATTGACCCATTAAGGCATTTTGATATTTACATAACTCCGCCCTAGAGCCCAACCCACTGTTTGCATCAGTGCACCACATTTACTCCGGGCCCCAGTGCATATTCCCACATGACAAAATTACATATTGCATCAAAGGTGGGTACACATTCCACGTTACCCAGGTGGGCACACGTTCCACGTTAGGGCCCCATTCACACCGGGCCCCTTGAGTGTCGGTGCACCCCAACGTACCCTAACAATGCACCCCCAATGCGCATTTTCCAAAATTCCAAATTCAAATTTCCGACTTGGCGCATAAATTTCCATCCTCCCCATCAGATCCAAAATACTTTTCTCTGGTTTCTCACCCCAAGACCCTCCAAACGCTGAAATCTCATTTTCGGGTGGACCATTTAAGCCCACATGAGCGCGGCACATGGTTGTGTCTGCCCGGCCGGCGCGCTCTATCCTCCAGCTCAGCCTCCATTGTGCCGGGGATCTGCTGTGAATCCGGATATAATCTACATTCATCCCCCCATAGAACATTCCTCTGACGGGCCGGAGGAAGAAAAACTATGTCAGCTTTTTAGGTGGCTCCGTGATTAACCCTTTATGGTGATGATGATGATGATGACGACGGTGATGGGCCACATTGAATCTGGCTACATAACATAACCCCAATGGAGTCACCAGCTTGAAGTGAACCTCCATACGAGTGGCATTGGGGTGAGTATTAGGGTGTAGGGCGGGGGTTGGGGAGAGTATAAGAGGTGAGGTTTAGGGTTTGAGCCTGGGACTTCTGAATACGCCTAGGGTGGGGGTTAGGAACCGAGGATAGGGTGAATATAAAATAGTCAGGGTTGAGGTTTGGGGTTATCATCAAGTAAAGTCAAGCTGTACTTAGGATTTGAAGTTAGGGTTGGGGGTTCAGGGTCAAGGGTTCAGGTTTGGTTCTGTAGATGTTTAGGGTTGGGGTTGAGGTATAGGGTTAGCTGTAGATGTTTAGGTTTGGGGGTTGAGGTTTAGGGTTAGCTATAGATGTTTAGGGTTGGGGTTGAGGTATAGGGTTATCTGTAGATGTTTAGGGTTGGAGTTGAGGTTTAGGGTTAGCTGTAGATGTTTAGGATTGGGTGTTGAGCTATAGGGTTAGCTGTAGATGTTTAGGGTTGGGGTTGAGGTATAGGGTTAGCTGTAGATGTTTAGGGTTGGGAGTTGAGGTATAGGGTTAGCTGTAGATATTTAGGGTTGGGGTTGAGGTATAGGGTTAGCTGTAGATGTTTAGTGTTAGGGTTGAGGTATAGGGTTAGATGTAGATGTTTAGTGTTAGGGTTGAGGTATAGGGTTATCTGTAGATGTTTAGGATTGGGGGTTGAGGTATAGAGTTAGCTGTAGATGTTTACGGTTGGGGTTGAGGTTATAGGGTTAGCTGTACATATTTAGGGTTGGGGTTGAGGTATAGGGTTAGCTGTAGATGTTTAGGGTTGGACGTTGAGGTATAGGGTTAGATGTAGATGTTTAGGGTTTAGGTATAGGGTTAGCTGTACATATTTAGGGTTGGGGTTGAGGTATGGGGTTAGCAGTAGATGTTTAGGGTTGGACGTTGAGGTATAGGGTTAGCTGTAGATGTTTAGGGTTGGGGTTGAGGTATAGGGTTAGCTGTAGATGTTTACGGTTGGGGTTGAGGTATACCGTTAGCAAAAGATATTTAGGGTTGGACGTTGAGGTATAGGGTTAGTTGTAGATGTTTAGGGTTGAGGTATAGGGTTAGCTGTACATACTTAGGGTTGGGATTGAGGTATAGGGTTAGCTGTAGATGTTTAGGGTTGGGGTTGAGGTATTCGGTTAGCTGTAGATGTTTAGGGTTGGGGTTGAGGTATTCGGTTAGCTGTAGATGTTTAGGGTTGGGGTTGAGGTACAGGGTTCTGTGAACTTTAGAGAAAGAACATTCAACAGAAAGTGGACTCAGAAGGCATTTGCTGGAGGTAAATTCTCCAAATCGTGAAGAACATCAGATTAATTTTTATTGACAGCCTCACAAATAATGTTTGTAATGCTATTTTCCTTTTGTCTCACAAGTTACATTTCACAAGTTTTGTAAGCCACGCCCGAGACACCACACTGTGGCCTTATCTATGACGAGCCTTTAATTTTGTCTAAGCACACATTAAAACACGACACTTACGTTCAGAATCTTCATTATTGAGGTATAGGGTTAGCTGTAGATGTTTAGGGTTGGGGTTGAGGTATAGGGTTAGCTGTAGATGTTTACGGTTGGGGTTGAGGTATACCGTTAGCAAAAGATATTTAGGGTTGGACGTTGAGGTATAGGGTTAGTTGTAGATGTTTAGGGTTGAGGTATAGGGTTAGCTGTACATACTTAGGGTTGGGATTGAGGTATAGGGTTAGCTGTAGATGTTTAGGGTTGAGGTATAGGGTTAGCTGTACATACTTAGGGTTGGGATTGAGGTATAGGGTTAGCTGTAGATGTTTAGGGTTGGGGTTGAGGTATAGGGTTAGCTGTAGATGTTTAGGGTTGGACGTTGAGGTATAGGGTTAGATGTAGATGTTTAGGGTTTAGGTATAGGGTTAGCTGTACATATTTAGGGTTGGGGTTGAGGTATGGGGTTAGCAGTAGATGTTTAGGGTTGGACGTTGAGGTATAGGGTTAGCTGTAGATGTTTAGGGTTGGGGTTGAGGTATAGGGTTAGCTGTAGATGTTTACGGTTGGGGTTGAGGTATACCGTTAGCAAAAGATATTTAGGGTTGGACGTTGAGGTATAGGGTTAGTTGTAGATGTTTAGGGTTGAGGTATAGGGTTAGCTGTACATACTTAGGGTTGGGATTGAGGTATAGGGTTAGCTGTAGATGTTTAGGGTTGGGGTTGAGGTATTCGGTTAGCTGTAGATGTTTAGGGTTGGGGTTGAGGTATTCGGTTAGCTGTAGATGTTTAGGGTTGGGGTTGAGGTACAGGGTTCTGTGAACTTTAGAGAAAGAACATTCAACAGAAAGTGGACTCAGAAGGCATTTGCTGGAGGTAAATTCTCCAAATCGTGAAGAACATCAGATTAATTTTTATTGACAGCCTCACAAATAATGTTTGTAATGCTATTTTCCTTTTGTCTCACAAGTTACATTTCACAAGTTTTGTAAGCCACGCCCGAGACACCACACTGTGGCCTTATCTATGACGAGCCTTTAATTTTGTCTAAGCACACATTAAAACACGACACTTACGTTCAGAATCTTCATTTTTGAAGTATCCTATGAGCTTGGGCTCGTCGTCAATGTTCTCAAAGGCAGCAAGTTCATGGCTTCCATCGATAAACTCTACAGGGTCCTCAAGTACCTGCAAAATAAGAGGTCCACCTTTATTGTTGTAGTAGCTATAGGCAGCCATATTTGTACAGGGTGCACCACTTCCTGGCAGTTGGTCAACGGTTTACTACTGTTTCCTGTCCGCCATGTTAGTTCATTGCACCAGGCAGGGCAGAGATGGAAAGCTAAACCAGCTTGTTGAAGGCCAACTCTACACCAAAACCATTGTCTCCGCTTTGAGGAGCTTTCCCTCACCTTTCTGTCCTGGAGACTCGACAGATATGAGACTGACTTCTTTATTATAAAAAAATGTGGGCGGGGCAGAGACACCAACAGCTTTTAGGAAATCTCTAAAAGGCCTATAAGAAGTTGATGGTTGACTGAACTCACCTTTGGAAATTTCCATTTTGGGTTGGCCTTGAAGCTACTGGACTTCATCCTTCAGTCATGAGGTGTGCAAGGCACAAAGTTCCCCTTATGAGTTAATAACCTGTAAATGGTTCACGATGGCTTTCCCTTAAAGGGCCAGTCTTCTACCAGAGTGCCCTTGCTGACCACTAAGGCAGCTTCATTGGGCAGGAGAATGGCATGGTAAGGCCTAGGCATCCCTCCCTGTCAATCAGGGAGGTGCATTGAGGGGGCTTTTCTGGTCTATAAAGACAACAGTGGGCATCTCAGGTTGCCTTATAATATTACCATTGAGTAATCATGGAGGACAATGGTAGAAATTTCATCCAGTTTTCCTCTAACCGGGAGGAAATTCGGCATCGCCCGGCTCTGAGGCTCTGCGTTGTTTTTCGATAACATGTCTGCATCCTCTGCAAAGAGATCTCAGTCATCAGATGTCCCCCGCACAATCTCCTCAGATTGAGCCTGCGTTCGGGAGGTGTAATTGGGGTCAGATGGGATTTAGTTCTGTAAACACGGGCAGATTTGTCGTCTCTGCCAGGCGAAGTGCGTCCTTCCTAGATAATGCCGCTGATAACAATAATGGGCGATGGGAGGAACCTTAATGATCAGAAGAGATATCAGAGCCGCCACGGGCCGGGTGTGGGGCTGGAAATGTGGAATTCGTTGTCTTCTACCTGCAGAATGAAGAGTCTGCTCCCAGAAAAAAAAACAACTAATGTTAACTGTGCCAGTTCCCCCCCCCCCCCCC